CAACACCCTCCATGTTTGAAACTATTTCAATTCACTGCATAAAATAACATTTTTGTTCATTTAAGAATAACAAATTGTTTACTTGTGTCTCTTGTAAGTAATTTGCAAAATTTCCTAAGTACCTAGATTCATGTTACATTTACTTCTTACTGTCAATGAACTTAAAATCTTTCAAAGTGGATTTCCTTTTAATATCTCTAAACCTATCACAAAAAGATATTCTCTCTAGTTTCAGTCTCAAGGCAATGATTTGGACACTTATAGGTGTACTTTGTTTAGTGTCACCTATGGTGTAGATTGGATAGATTTTGCAAAAGATAGCATTACTTTTAAAGAAACATACAATTTGACAAGATATTGCATTTTACCTTCATTTTATTGCCATATTTTTCATCACACTCATTGTTTTCCAACTGTCACTAAATTGTTCATTTTCTTAGCCTGCTACATTCGTAGACCTATTTACTGTTTATAAAGCAATATGCACTTACAGGTTTTGGAGATGGCTTGGGCTCCGAGGGTCGCATGTGCAAGTGGGTCATCATTGCTTGAAGACGTTCGCGTTCTTTAGAAAGCTGTTAAGAAAGAGTGGGATCAGAAGCATTTTAGAAATGACTGATACAGCTATTTCACTGCAGTGATATATCTTATCATTGAGCTTGTCTTGGTGTAATGATTCCTGCATATAAAAGTCTGTGTCAGTAGAAACTTATCTAAGAGGAAATGCAACTTTGGGCATAGAAAGAAAGAAAGGAAGGAAAAAAAAACCAACAAAAACTTTTATAGCCTTTCATATGTTAAAAGGTCAGAGAAAACAAATAGCACTTCATCTTTTTGTCAATAAGAGAATTGAGGTCACAGTTGCCTCGACAGTAACAAGTTACTAAGACCATAAATTAGAAGGCCCATAGTGTCTCTTTAAAGTCCTGTGGACACTGTTAGCAATGGACTAGTGCCAACAGCTGTGAAGGGGTGAAGGGTCCTCAAAGCACAGTGCCTGCCAGGATTGACTACACACTTCATCCTTTCCCACTGAGGTCCAGTTAGTGCCCCCTGCAATCTGCCATCATCAATCTAATTCAATAGAGTGACAGAGCCCAGGCAGTGTGAAACACTGAACTCTGCCATCGAGTCGGCAGCGACACTGCACTGGGTCTCATTACAACTGATGGACCCTACTTCGCTAGCAGTCAGACAAAGCAAAAAATGGCATAATTGGTCACACTGCAAGCTAAATCTTCACTTCAACTGTTAGATTACAGCCCAGCCTTTGTAAATGGTAAACAATTCCTATCAAGCCCTTATGCTGCCTTCAGAAAACATTATGTGACAAACCTACTTTTTCCTAACTGATACCATTTTCTGATCATATATTATGTAAATAATTATCGTTTCAGATTCAAACAAGGTACCAAATTAAAATTAAAAAATTAAACAGGAGGAAGTGCTTGAAATCTGCAACTTGTTGATAAAAATAGCAGGATATAAAAGAGGAAAATGTATTTTACAACGGAAAAGATTTTATTTTTTTTCACAAACTAGCTTACAAGAAGAAATGTTCAAAATTTTACTCTAGTGATTTGGCTCTGGCTACCTAAAACATGATTTCAACATTATTTACAATAAGAATTAAATTTGGTGTTTAATGCTATCATTTTCCAGAGAGTTCTTGCTCTTACACTCCTAGACTGAGACTGGACAAAGGACTGGAGAACTTGCAAGTAGTTTTAAAAGAGGGAACTATCTTTAGTACTGCAGATATTTAATATGATCTAGTGTGTATTCTATTAAAGAACATTTGAGGCCAGGGGTGTGAAAAAGGTTTCTTCTTCAAAATATGTGTAGCTTCATTCTATATGTGTGATGTTTTATTGACATAGTATTTGCCATGACATGAATTCCTAACAAGCATACAAATGAAGTCAACACTATCATGTAAATAACATGAAAGAAATAGCAGCTTTACCCGGGTTTAAAAATAATTCATTTTAAGGGAAATGACAACAAATTACATTATTGTATGCTCCTCTCATTGTTTTGGATTTCCAGCATTAAAGTAAAAAAGATACAAAAAAGCCTCCACTGGAAGAAGTATTCTTACGTGAAAGAGAACTTGTGAGACAATATCCTGAAAAGGTGAGAAAGGTGAGAGTTGTTATCCTTCTTTCTCTACATATGGCAAGAAACAGGGACAATAATCTTGGTCTCTTGCTGCATCCCTTGAGATCCTCTGAGCAGTGCCAAGAGGGCCTGGGACTGCTGAGACATACCCACCCATGACTGCTGTGTGGGCAGCAGGAGACAGCGTGGGCCAAGTGCCCTGCACGGTCACCCCTGGGGCTTGTGCCCAACCTCAGCAGCCTGTAGGTGTTGTCACAATCCTGCAGACCCCAGGGGTGCCCACCACTCCCTGCATAAGCAGAAGGGAGCATTCACATACACGCAGTGACCTCTAATGGTTAGAGCATGCACAGGGCACTGCAGGCCTGCGGTCTGAGGCACGGCACTCCCTAGGGACCTTCCTGAGTGGGTCTGACATTACACCTTCTTGCTTGCAAAAAAATGAATGCCCCCTATCAGACTGGGAGTCATTTTGGGTGGAGATATGCTCTGCTACTCTTTTATCCCACAGAACAGCACAGACAAGCACTGGGTCAGAAGGGGAAGAAGGAAGAGGGGCTCTGACCCAGCATTTTAAAAAGTGAAGATGGCTTGGATCCAGTCTTTGCTCCAGGGACTGCATTTTTCGTTCATGACTAATAGCATCAGAGTCTTAGTTCAAGCAAAATACTGTAGACAATCTTGATGTTAGATAATTATTGCATAATTTATGATGTGAAAAATCTTTAAGTAAAAAATCCTCACTTATTCATGAATATCAACAAATTTAATGTACGAAACATATGTCTTTAAGCTAGAGTCACTAAGGCAAGTGTTTTCAATTTAGTTTAGGTAAACAGTAAATAAGTAATAGCATAATGTATCCATATAACAAACCTGTATTTCTAACTGCTGAACCACTTGCATTTGCACCCGACACTGAGCAGTGCTTCTGTCATCCAATGCATGTTCATTGTTAAGGTGCCTAGACAAGGAAGTAAGACAGTGTTAATATGAGGAAAGTAACTTTGAGTACATTTTTCTCTCCTGCACATATGGCTTACATTAGTTCCAAGGGGAGCTGTGCAGAAAGACCTAGTCAGAACATGCCATACAGACAACAATACACAACAACTAAACAGATTATTTCATTTAGTTCTACAAATTTTCCCAGTGAGGACTTTCAAATACCCAGTTTATATCTCACAGGTCACATATCCCATCTAAGGGCCAATGTGACCAGTTATGAATATTTGTTACAACAACTGAAATGATTTCCATTCCCTGTTGCTGATGCAGATGAAGACAATCACCTTACAAATGAGTCTCTGAAAGACAGAATTGCTTTTAGGCTGCTTGAACCACTGAGAATTAATGTAGACTTTGTTAAGATTTCTCTATCTGCTCTTTAATCATTAAGCAACAAGAGAAATCCATTACCCATCCCCAAAAACAGACCTGCAGGGGAACAGCCAAATTTCAATGTGGTTTCTAGAAGTAGACTCTGGAAGTCTACTTGATGGAAGTGACTGTCCCCTCCCAGTATGAAGAAAAGTCTATGAAGAGGCAGGAGAAGGACCAACTATACACCTTATTAACAGCAAACTTCCTGGGAAAGGTTCGCGCTACACATGTGAGCTTAGCAAAACAAAAACACACTCGGCATCAGGGAAAGAGGACCTCAGTGAGCAGCTGCCTGACACTGAAGTTTAGCCCAGACCCAAGTGGTTGTCCCCCAGACATTTCAACTGAGCAAAAATTTGCAAAGATCAATTAATGGTTTTTTTTTTTTTTTTTTTTTTTTTTAAGGACAATGTGTCTGTTTTCTTCTTTCTCTCTTTCAGGATCAAGAAGTCCCTTCTGGAGCTTTAATAGTGGGCTTTCTGCTCCATGGAGAAGAAAACATAAGGATCAGGTTAAAGAAGAAATGGGAGCAAAGGAGTTCTGCCTTTGAATATGGATTTACTGGCTATTTCCACAGTAGGCATGAGGGGTGATGGTCTCACAGTTATAAGAACTAAGTTAATCTATACCATGGAGGAAAAGTATTTTCTCCTTTTTCTTTTTTTTTCCTAGCAGAATTAATCAGAGAACTGTGCAGTCATTTGATTGTTAATCTATGGGGAAAATGTATTTGTCAGAAATAGTGGAAAAACAGACTGACTATACCACTTCTATTAACATCTGTGTCCTTTAAATCACAACTTCATATGTTTAGGACCCTATGATAGTTTTCAGGTGAGCAAAATGTTCTGCTGTTCTGGAAACAGGCATGTCTGAGGAAGAGACATAAGTAATTGTGAAAGGTTTTGTTCATTCTTTTAATATAAAATTCTTTAAGAATATACCTGTAACTTGCTAGGTAGTTTATGCTAAGTTCAAGCATCACCAAGGACACATTTCCTTTATGTGAGTCATAAAACCTATAATTTATTTCTTTTCAAAGGAACTGACTTCATCCTCCCATTGATGCAAAAATGCACAATCAGTTTAAAAAGCAGCTAATTGCTCAGAACATACCATTCACTTGTTTTCTGAAATTCTGATTCAGAAGAATTTTACTCCTTCAATTACACAGGCATGATAGTGCGTGGCCTGTTAATGTAATGGTTTAATATTTTCAGTTAATTGGGTACAAAATTGCCAGAAAAAGGTCTGAAGACAGATTTTACCTTGGCATCATTACCCTATCACCAGTGCACACCAGCACATATGCTCAACTGTGCATGCTCACAGGTGGATGTGGATAACACAAGACTAAGCAAGAGTACAGGTATAAAATATCTCCCAGACCAAGTCTGCGGCTACTGCAAACTCATGATTATTTATTAGTTATTACAACACCATATGTTTGCATAACACCTTACAAAATAGATACAGACATAGTCCTTGCCCTGAGG